TGTGTGTGTGTGTGTGTGTGTGTGTGTGTGTGTGATAGACTCTCCTATATTCCTGCCTGCATGTGACAGAAATCCCTTTATGTGGGCCTGGGAGATTTCCAGATCCTGTTCCAGTGTTGCACTATTGTTGTGATAATGTGTGTTACGGTACTTTGTTACTGTGCGGCTCCACGTATCTCATCACACCAGGAGGACGGACAACACTCATGAGTGTGTGTGAATTCTGCTCCCCGCCGTGACCAGAAGCGGTCGGAGCTGTTTGAATTGGATTATCTAATACATTTTCTATTATCCTGCAAGACCTTGAAAGAGATAGGGTTGTCGGGAGCCAGGCCGCTTGATAAAAAAAGGGTTTGGCCAATTTGTAGTATGCCTCCTCCCTCAAGCAGAAACATTTGTTCAACTCATTTTATTCATCCTGACTTATCCAGGTTAGTCTCATTGAGATCAAGGCGCTCTTACACAGAGCTGGCCGACGCAGCGACAGCACGATTAATTAGCAGGTAAAGAAAAAACAATCAAAACACGTCGGCGTGGACGGTGATTAAACCCCCGAAAAACCTGCAGGAGAAAAGTAGAGCAAGAGGGACTGTGTTGGACAAGAGAGGACGGAGACAGACGTCACCTGGAACAATTTAAAAACATCACCGGCAGTGGAAGATATGGAGCAACAGTGTCCACAGCCTCAGTGAAATGTCAATTTGTGAAAGGTCAGTTCACCCAAATTCTCCACCTCTCCTTCGCGGGTTCCCAAAGTTTCACACTACAGCGGGGGGGGGGGGGGGGGGGGGGGGTGTAATTTCGATGCGGTGGTGCTCGAAACGTTGAAAAATTCATGTAAGTTTTACTCTGGGTCGACTTTGAGAGCACGTAGTTCTAATAAAGGTCTGGAGATTTGTCCAAGTAACTGGGACGATGTCTCGGGAAAGATTTTTAAATGTCAGTTTTTCAGTACACCAAACGACACAGACCAGATTTAATCTACCCCACATTCAATTTGAAGATATAGACAAATAACTCAAACTAGAATAGAAGCTCGCACCTCCAGCAGTCTCCTGATGAAACCACAGTTAGATCCGGGGTTTCATTTGGATCTGATTTGTCTGCTGCTGTAACAAGAACATTTCCTCTGTGCGCGATCAATAAAGTTTTGTCTTATTTCAACTTGTACACACTCATAAATATCATCAAGATCCACGAAAAACGTCCTAAGAAATCAGGGAAAATGCAGAAGACACATCTTACAATGTTTAAGAAAGTAAAAAATATTCCTGCATCCGTCCACTGATCTGGATCTAAATATAATTTGTTCTTCATTGACCCAATTGGCCTTTTTCCACCTTGTGGTAATTAGTCCAGTAGGTTTTGTGTAAAAACATAACCTAATTGGTGGAGTTGAAAACCGCAACTATGGCTGGATACACACATCTCGGGCAAAGTATTAAAATGCGAAGCTTCTGTAATTTAGATTAATTTACACTCAATAAATCTGCAAGCCCAGAAATGCACGACAGAGCATTTAGAATAAAATACAGCTACAGGTGAGAGAAGCAAAACACTGCAGAGCTGCATCATAATTCACTCAGAAGAACTTTCCCATACACACATTGATGTGATCCATCATTAATATACAGATATTGAGTATGGCAGCTTTAATATATTAGGTTTACATTTGAATTAAGCTTGTATATATAAAACGGGTCGATAGAGTAATCGAGTAACTGATAAATACGAGGAATCATCCATGCGGAACTCACACTGCAGAGCTCTGTGTTGAGAAAAAGTCTGCAGTAACAATAACCAGCATCATCCCTGGCACCATTTCAGAAAAGTTGCCAAACATCCCTCCACTGTGTTGTGACTCATCGCTTCAGGCAGTCTTCCCCTCGTCCATTTGGAGACACACAGTTTACACTGGCGCTAAGAAGCAGCGAGTGATTATCACTTCTGCGAATTCCAAGTCGGCACTCGTGACCTTGCGGAGAGAACGCCCTTGTCGAGAGGAGTTGGCGGGAGCAAGTTTTGATGGACGCGGGCAACACGTCCTGACGGCTCGACACAAGCTGTGTGCGCTCGATGTCGTGTCTTCAATTAAGACGCACAGATGTTCACTCTCACAGGTTGTGGTGTCATTTTGCTTCCTCAGTCGCTGCAGTTTGGATGTGATGCATTATTCCTGGATTTGGTCTCCGAGCTTCTCAGCAGTGATTCATGACTTAAATCGTTCTGTTTATAAAAGACCAGTGAGACCTTTTACATTTTATTTTCATGTTGGAATAGAACTTCATCTGTGAAACAGCCGACATGAAATGTTCCGAGGGAAATAGGTTCAGAGAGAAAAGAAAATTTTAGGATCTTGTGCAATGATGAATTTCTGCACTGGCAAAATGGAAACGTACTCAGGGCCATTGGCTTCAAGATTTATTATCGTATGTTGTTTTAGTTTTTTAAAATATTGGAGTAAATTGGGTTTTGTAATATTTTAATTGTGAAATTGTTTGAATTATAAAAATTGGTTGAATGTTTTGTTAATTTGCAGATTAAATCAAATGATGATGTAATGCATAAAAAGTGTGTGTGTCAATTCTTGTCAGCAATTGTAAGGTCTCCAGAATGTCCAAGATTAAAAATGATGTTGTGTATATTTTTTATAAATATGCTTGTACCTAAATCAGTAACATTTTTATTCTTTAAATATTTTTCCATTATGTGAGTGCATCTGTGGATCGCTACTAATTTCGTTGCACTATCCATCCATCCATCCATCCATCCATCCATCCATCCATGACCCTTTGAAGGGACCTGACCCCGAGCTTGGGAAACATGAAAACAGTTCGAACTAGCTCCACGCTGAAAACCCACAATACTTTCCCGATAATACGTCTGTCTTTTTACTTGAGTACGATTTTGAATTGGTCATTTCTTCTTCCCAGTAAATGTGCAATAACCTTGGAGTTTATTTACCAGATTGTGTGAATACTTGTCTCTCTCACTCTGTTGGACGTCTTCTCCGTGAAAACAGTCCTACAATTTGAGCCAAAATAATTTGTCGATAAAACAGACACTGTAAAAAAAAATTAAAAAATTGAATTGCCCTGAAAATTTTACAAGAACGTTTTTTGGTGTCCGACTCCTCATCTCCTCTCTCCAAACACTCGCCATAATCCTCAAAATTTGGAAGGAGAATTAGGTTTAGATTAAAGCCAGAGAATGAATGTTGTCAACGGAAGGTCCTCGCAAGTACAGCGGGACCGAGTTGTGTGTGTGTCTGTGTGTGTGTGTGTGTGCAGAAAACGACGCAGCATGAGCAATGACGGTGCCAGTGTCTAACAGGGGGAACCAACCTCGCCAGGGCTCCAGAGCTTAGATTCATTGCTTTAGTAGCAATGCATTTTTGATGTGGCCCCTTTTCTGCTTCAACTTCTCCGTATGATGCTGACGGAATAACAGCGCCCCCAGCAACCATCCACATACAGTAGCCTAAATGTGACATGTGATGTTTGCAATGTGTAGGTATTTGTGTATACGTGTGTGTGTGTGTGTGTGTGTTGAGGAAGAAGAGGCACAGAGAGAGAGAAAAAAATACAGAAAGAGAGAAAGAGACAACGAGAAAGGGAGAAAATGTTCCCCCTTGCCTGTTAAATATTTGAGAAGCCTTCTGTGGAAAAGTGATGCAGTCAGAGACGGGCCTGTTAGC